AATTTTTTTTATCAAAAAATTTGTATGTGGAAAATTTTTCAAGAAAAAAATTAAAAAATATTTTTTTTCGTAGGGAATTTTGATGTGTGTATGTGTGATTTTATCGATAAAAACGGTTTAATTGCGTATGCATGTTCACTTTGAGCAAATTGTGACAACTGGTTGGGGAAATCTTCGGTAGATTGGGCAAATCGCTAATTGGGCCCAATTGGGCCAATATTAGAGCCCAATTGGGAAAAACTTTTGGCTCTGATCGGGCAACCTCAAAAAATTTCCAGCAAGGAAATTTTGTCATAATGGGCAACAATTTTTGTGCCCTCAACTGGCACGAAAATCTGCTAGCATCATATAAGTGCATTTTCAGAAAAAAAATCATAACTCGAAAATGACGAATTTTAGCATATTGCTACTCGTACTGAAAATAGTTTATACTATTCCCCAATAGACAAAAAAGTTTGAGAGAAAAAAAAGATGTGGCAATTTGAAAAAAATCAATTTGAAAAAAATAAAAGTTTTTTTGTTTATAAACAATAATTAATTATTAATAAACAATTACTTATGTTTAGTTCACTAGATCGATTCAGTAGATCAATATCTGCAATTTAAAAAAAAAAATCGTTAAAATCCTTGCTTTTTTGCGGCAGTTATAAACGATTTCATCAAAAGTTGCTATTAAGAGAGGAAAAAAGAAGCGTTCGTACTCAAAAAGAAAAAAATTCATTATTCAAAAAATTCGCATTTCTGAGCAAAAAGAAAAAATACGTGTCTCCTTAAATTGTTCAAGGAACAAGCCCTGTGAGTTTTATCGCAAACTTAAATTCACTTTCCGCCGGCCTGGGTGATTTGAGATGGAATGAGCCTTAAATAGTTACTAATTTATCGCATTTTCGTATTTCTGTAAATTACCGTTATATGGGAGGTGGGCCTGGTCTGATTTCAAACAAGTGGGAAAGATACAGCATTTTATGGTGCCACGCCCATTTTAAAAAAATTTCACAACTGTCTTATTTTATGCCAAAATTCTACTTCGCGTACCAACTTTCAACAATTTGGATCCAGTATTTACGGAAACATCGCTGTTTTTGCATATTTCGAAAATACCGTTATATGGGAGGTGGTCGTGGTTATTGTCCGATGTTACCCCTTTTCAATCCCACCCTACCTTGGATAAAGGGAAACTTGCATACCAAATTTCGTGGACATATCTCACAGACATGGCTTTCTCGATTTCTCTTTTCATTCTGATTACTTATGTATACATTTGTCTATATCTATCTCGATTCGTTTTGGCTGTTACAAACAACCGTTATGCGAACAAAGTTATAATACCCTTGTGCACAAGTGTGCTCGGGTATAAAAAATGCGGTAAATTGTTCTAAGGACACAATCGTTATCGCCGAAGCCGATTCGAGAGTATTATTGTCCAGTTTCATAATCCTTCATAGGATCTCCCGAGGACTTTAAAATGAAAAGGTATGCAAATCAGTTAATTTGGGTACCCAGCTTCGATGAAAGCTGTTGACTCTCGAATACACTTTTCGGCAAT